AATCTGTTGATTTGGGACCTAACACTTTTCATAGGATCACCTAGCAAATGAGCCTGCATTGCGTTGATTGCACCCTGCATCATATAAGCTGCCACCAAATCTTCAAATTTCAATTTTTAAAAAATAAAAATAAAAATTGAATTCGGAGTTCATCACATTTCGGCATTCTCCATAATCTCCTAGTACTCTCATCTCATTAATAGTATAATTTTGCAATTATTATACAATTGTTCCTTATTTCCAAAATTTTCAAATAACTCATTTCTCACTCGTGGGATGTGCACCCTAGACTTGTGCTTTAATCTCTTATTCGAGGTGTTTTATTATAAAGTTGATTTCACAACACTCGTTCCTTTCCCGCTCAAATTTAGTTTGGTTTCACCATTGAAAGTAACTATCTTAATATGTGATGATTCTTCCAAGTATGAGTGTCTTAACCTCCAAGCTTTATCTAAACTAAGAACATTGGTGCAGGTACAGAAGCAGCAGAAACGGAAAGAAAACAGATACTCACAGCACAACATACTTGGTGTCCCTTTATTTTTAGTTATTTTGTCACTGCACAACATACTTGGTGTCCCTCAATTTTATTTTTTTAAATGTGTATCTTATTCTATTTTTGGATCTTTTCTTTGGATTTTAAAGGTTATTTTCACTCTAGACTTGCATTAGTCTTCTTACTTTGTAGATCATCTCATAAACATTGATGATGTAACAGTGTCTCATTACTCAAGACTAGCTTCACACATGACACAACAACATAGGTAATTTTATCCTATATGTCACGACTACTGCAATACCTTTTATTAGGACAAGTAATTGAGATTAAATCCCCAGTGTAATGTTGGTACCTAGCTTCCACCGCTAGCCAAAAATACTCTACAAATATTCAATAAGCACAGAATCAACAACTCTTTAAATAGCTCCAAGAAACTGTATCAATTACCACTAAACTAATCCCTTCAATTGGTTAAGTGGTTGTGTTTTATAATATAATTTTTGTTTTGACAATCTAAGTCCATTCAACATATGTAGTCAATACAAAAAACACATGTTGATCATCATGGTTATTGTGCTTAAATGATGCAATCTTACATGGACAAGTATTAAATTAGTAAAGTTAAATCACCTAATGACAATTTATGCATCATAAACAATTTCAAATAATATTAGCGAGAAATGATATCCAATTCACACAACTACACATACAAAAAGAAAATATTTTTTAATTCTTTTCATATTTTTGATTTTTTTTTTTCATTTTTTTCATTTTATATTTTTATGGCATATCACACAAACGAACAACTATAACACTCTCAAACTTATAATACACATTACACTCAAGGTGATCACAAAATAAGCTTAAAGAAAGATTAGCAATAGTCATCATGTCATATGATGATGATCTCAACATTAGCACTTTGTCTTGTACTTTCCTTTTATTTCCTCTGCACGTTTTGCAAAATAAAACCATGATACCTGAAAAGAGAAAGGAAAAGTAATTACTAATATAATCATACGGGATTTAGAACTAATTTGAGTGTATGTATGTGTCGGATGAAAGAAAATTCGGCATAATTGTGATGCTAGGAATACCATCCTACATATGGAAGCTAAAAAACTTGTTGCACTACAGTCTGTGCTACTAAATGGTCCCTTTATATAGATCTTTAAGTTTCTCTTTGGAATGGGTGAACCTTTAGTTCCGATCAATCTTGAGCCCTTGGATGACACCACTTCATATTGTGCGGTCCAGATTGGAGAGGAGCTCAATTCAACTTCTGCAACATGCACGGGTTCGCCTATCGACTTGGTTTGCAAGCGGCTAGCTGTTTAAATATGTTTCGAAATTATATCACCGCAAGAGTATGGAACGTTGACAAGTAATAAAGTGGAAATACTAAAATTTCGAGTATCGTTCCCACGAGGATTGATTTAACTTAAGTT